AGCTGGGAGAAGGAAAGGGGTAGGTAGCAGGGGAAAAAAATGACAGCGTCGGATAGCTGTGCTCTGACCCGCAACACCAAATCGCTTCTGAGACTCAGGGGTTGCACCCTCCAGCGTCACAGCACCACGGTTAACCTTTCAAGATGTGGTCAGCGTTCTTACTTGTCTTGTTTACAGTCTGACTTAGTAACCCGTTCATTCTATAAATACTTAGGTGACTGCTTAAAAGATGCAAAAAGATGCATTTTCTCATGTATTAGTATTTAGAATGATAGTTAGTCATTAGTCTCAAATTCCACTACAAAAATTCCAGTTCCTACTATATGTTGTTGAAAGTGGAAGAAGGCGGCAAAATTAAAACTCTTCTCTGTGGAGATTTGAGGGAGTGGGGTTTGGGGGTTTTTTTTTTTTTTTTTCTTTTTTTTTTTTTTTACCTGCATGGAGCTTAATACTGCAATTATCTGTGCTATGTAATGTTTTCTGAAGGATAAAGTATTTGCTTTCTTTTCCTCAGATTGTCATAATGGAGGTACAAGGTTTAAAGTCGGTCGCTCCCAATCGAATTGTCTACTGCACCATGGAAGTGGAAGGGGGCGAGAAGCTTCAGACGGACCAAGCAGAAGCTTCCAGGCCACAGTAAGCCATTCTGCTGTCGCTACCTCCAGCATCTCTTTCCTTCAGATCATGGGAGAACCTAACTGAGTGTCTTTACAGTTTTTACAATTAAGTTAGCGCTAGGTTATACAAAGTTTTTTCTTGGGTAGTTATCTTAAAATCTTTCTGAAAAATGAAAACACAAATAATAGTTATTCATGGTGAAGTAAGTACAAAGTGTGGATGCTGTCCAAATAAATGCCAATTGAGTGTATGTGTGAGGAAAAGAGCTAGAGACTGCAGCGTTGTGTTCTTACCCGCATCCTCTGAAAACACAAACTTCTCGATAAATGTTAGCCTGAGGTGTTTTTATGTATTCTAGGTTAATGTGCAGGTGGCATTGTGGAGTGTAACTGGTACAATTGGTGGAAAATCAATACTCAGTAATCAATCTTGACAACGCTTACTCACCTGCTGAGCCTATTTCATTTTAAATTATAGGATCCACTTCTTTCAATTAATTTTTGAGGGAGGCAGTCAGCAAACTGACTTGGAGGGGGATAACATCACGCCATCTGTAGTTGAACCAGTCAGAGTGGCAGAGAGGAAGAAAATTAAGTGAGGTTTTTGGTTGATTTGTTTGACCTTACACACTGACTTCAGACACTTCTCTCTGTTAAAATGTCATTTGGAATCTTTTGTAGATAACTTTCCAGGCAGTGAGTTGAGGTTTTACTGGCACCATACTGTGCCTTGTGAAAAACAATTTAAAAATTGCAGTTGTTACAGTATCCAAGAAAACATCTTCAATAGAGTTGGGATGGTAGTTTCTATTCCATTCAGACCACAAATATGGACTTCTCTTAGGCAAAATTATAAGTGTTTTATCTGCCTCTTCTGGGGTTGGGAGAAGGAGATCTAATCTGGTAGATTTTCTTCTACTTGCAGCAAATTTCATGGGCAAGTAAGCCAGCAGCCTACTCCAGTAACATATTCATACAGCTTTGCAGAACTCTTAAGTATGTGGGACAAGGTGTAAAATTCCCTTGTCACAGTCCCTGGCTGTGTTCTTCCTCCAGGGCATAGGTATGCTCAGTCTTATAATTTGCATGTAGTAAGTGAGGAACTTCTAAAAGCAACAACAGTGTAAAAGACACACAGAGATACACATTGAAGCAAGGTCATAAGTGGGTATGCAACATCCCCTGCTCATTTGTTGGGGTATACTTTTGTGGCTCGGGGTCCCACGAGAGTCACAAGGCTTTCTCATGGGGGGCACATCTTCAAGCTGTGCTTTCTCTTCAAACTCAGAGTTGCTTTCATACTCTTCCTTGCAATGAGTGCCTCCTACCTTTGCCTACTGTCACAGTCAAGGCTCCCCTTTCTTCTGATGGTGTGTGTCTCTTTTTCTTCACCCTTGAACTTGTTAGCTTCTGTTTTACATACTCAATTAACCCCTGATGTCATTGGTATGGGTCCTCAAATCTCCCTAAATCAGCTAAAATACACAAATTCTTGAATCTCAGGCACAGTCATTCTCCTTCCAGAAGACAGTTTGTGGATGTAAAGGGGTTTCTTTCTCTCTAGCTGTTTCCAGATATGGTGGACAAAACATGGTAGAGATGGTTCATGGTCAGGTCACGGTTTACTTATTACACACTGAGGGCTGCAGGTTAAGGTAGAGTTTGTAAAACCAATCAGAAGGTATACACTGGGTATAGGTACGTCTGGTAAAAGTTAATAACAGATCAGTTGATTTTCCTACCTGCCAAAGTACAAACTGTGAAAAGGAAGTTCCAGAATAGATGGAGTCAGTAGGAGAACAACTGGAGCGCTTCTAAGAAAAGGGGTGATGTTAGGACTTGCTCTGAGCTTGTAAACTGATTTAGCAGATTTCAGGCTCAGTAGGTATGAGTTGATTGAATATAGGAGAAAGACAGGTTATAGGCTACTCCATAGAAGTAATGTTGTCTGAACCAAATTCCTATGTGTTTGTATAGAAAAAATTATTCGTGTTTAGGAAGTGGATGATCGAGAGATGCCCTGTACCGTACACTGGAAGGACAGGAATGGGATGTACCGGTGCTGTTGACCTGCTGTCCTACAAAACACTGTAACTTGAAGGGGCATGGCTGATGGAGCTCTAAAATCTGTGTAGTTCTTGTGCTTTTCTGAGTTGTACTGTTTTCCATTTCTGGCAAGAGTAATTATGAGACATTGGCATACAGTATGATTACGAGTGTATAGAGAGAAGCAGTTTGTGAGCATATATAGAGATGTAGTTTTAGGCCACAGAGGAGGATATTAAATTAGACAAGCATGAAATTAGCAAATTATGGGCAAACAGTAAAGAAGATGGAGGAAGCTGCCTATCAAATCAGAGATCCTTTATTCCACAGTTTAATTTTTATGTTAGAGCCAAATCTGGTTTTCTTGATGCTAGCAGTATTGCTTTTTTTTGGTAGATGGCAGAGGGAGCTAAGAATCATAGAATCGATTTGGTTGGATAAGACCTTTAAGATCATCGAGTCCAACTTTTAACCTAACCCTGACATCCCACCACTAAACCATGTCCCTAAGCACCTCATCTGTCCTTCTTTTAAATACTTCCAGGAGGTATACCTCCCAAGAGGGCTTGGCAGAGTTTAACCAGAAAATTGTGCTGGTGGAAGAGAGCCTAGGAAGTACTGTTATAGGCAGGGAGGACTCCCCAGGCTTCAGAAGACTTAAGGTGTGTCTCTTCTCTCTCCTACCCCAGTCTGCACCCAGTCCTTCTAAGATCTTGCTTACTTTTATGACCAACACATCCCTTGCCCCATGCGGTCACCTGCCTCCTCTTGCCCCCCTGCTTCCTGCAGCACTCATCGCTGTTGTTTCACAGGGGCCTGCCAGGGTGATGGGGAGGCTCAGTCACCGGGCAAAGAGTTGGATGCAAGAGGAGATGCAAGAGGTGGAAACAGAAGTGATTTTCTGCTCCTATTGATGTTAGTAATGGTAATACTATGGGGAAGAGAAATGCCTCCTTTCCCCCTCAGTCCTTTGGCAGCAATGGGCAAAGTCGTGTAAGAGGAGGCCGGTGACCAGCTGGGCAAGCACAGCCAGTCCATCTCTCTTCTGATACAGAAAAAACAAGCTGCCTGCTGCCCTAAGCTCTGCCTACTTTGCCTGCTGCTGAAGTTGGCTCCTTACCGGGATAATTTTCCATACTGTCAGTTGGATACAAAGGAAAATAATCAGTGAGGCTGGAGAAGAAAACACAAAACTCATTGCAGAAGGAAAAAAAAAAAAAAAAGAGAACTGTAGTTCAGCTCAACCCTTCAAATCACTCGCAGTAACATATTTGCACTGACAAATCCCAGATAAATGAGAACATAACTTCAGGTTTTATATAGGATGTGCAGCTAGAAAAGGGTAGCAAAGCTCTCATACTAAGCGGAGAATGAGACAGTGATGAAAAGTGAATGTGCAAGAGGTGGAAACAGAAGTGATTTTCTGCTCCTATTGATGTTAGTAATGGTAATACTATGGGGAAGAGAAATGCCTCCTTTCCCCCTCAGTCCTTTGGCAGCAATGGGCAAAGTCGTGTAAGAGGAGGCCGGTGACCAGCTGGGCAAGCACAGCCAGTCCATCTCTCTTCTGATACAGAAAAAACAAGCTGCCTGCTGCCCTAAGCTCTGCCTACTTTGCCTGCTGCTGAAGTTGGCTCCTTACCGGGATAATTTTCCATACTGTCAGTTGGATACAAAGGAAAATAATCAGTGAGGCTGGAGAAGAAAACACAAAACTCATTGCAGAAGGAAAAAAAAAAAAAAAAATTGAGAACTGTAGTTCAGCTCAACCCTTCAAATCACTCGCAGTAACATATTTGCACTGACAAATCCCAGATAAATGAGAACATAACTTCAGGTTTTATATAGGATGTGCAGCTAGAAAAGGGTAGCAAAGCTCTCATACTAAGCGGAGAATGAGACAGTGATGAAAAGTGAATGATTACCACCAGCCTGCTGTGGGAGACTGCTGGCAAGAGCTCCAAATCATGTGCTTGTCACACACATTTTCTGTAGTTGGTTTATCGTTTGGAACTGGTAGCTATATTTGTGAAAAGAAGCAGTATAAAGAATTATTTATGCCTGGTTTTTTCATCTGCGGAACATCAGTGTGTGCAATGCAATGCTGGTACTCAGTCAGAAGTTTCAAAAGCTTTGACAGTGAAAAGGAGAAAACGAGGTACTCGGGCGAATGCTTCAAAATGGAGTGCAAGCCAGTGTGACCTTAGGGTGGAGATTAATGGAAGCATGAGTCAAGTGGAAACTTAATTCAGGGTTTATCCACTATTCTAAAATGCTGACTATTTTCTCAATTATTTTTATGAATATGTATTTAAGTATTCCTCTGAATCCCTGAACGCTTCCATAAGAGTAATAGGGAAATCAGAAAAAATGTTCTTTCTTAAAGGGAAAAGACTTAATTAGAGTCCCAGAGAGGAGACTACAGTTTTATCCTGACAGTTTATCGGTAAGAAATATTTTCTGGTTTCTTATTACTTTTAACCCCTGTCTGCTTTCTCCCTCTTTGAATAATAATTTTGTGAGTTTATACTGAAGTGCTTCATTTCCTTCTTTAACAAGCTAAATAAAGCACTGTTTACATGTATGTTACCGAGTAGCTAATGGTCATTCTAAAATGCGAATGCTACAGAACAATATTGTTTGACTGAGCTTAAGTCTTGGGCAATTTTACAAACAGAGCAGTTATACAGCTTCACATGTAAACCCTATAAAATTTTTATTACTGCCTGTGAAGTATTTCTTCATTCCTTCCAACTGTTTCCTGCCTTTTAGCCCTGCTGAAAATCCCTCCAACATAGCCTGTGACCTTTTCTGCCAGCAATCAGTAAGCAGAGCCTTCAGAGGATGCCTTCAGCTGTACGAAGCTTTGCATAACTTTGTTGCTGTGACGCCACAGGGGGTCATCTTGCAAAATCCAGTGCTAATTTCATTTTTCAAATGTTACTCATGTGCCTTAGTTTTTAGTCATGTGGA